GGCAATCCTACTTCCGTAGTGATACTGCCTCGGAAACCCAAGGAGGGGTCGCTATGAGTCGGGGCCGACTCGACGGCATACAACAACAACAACAATATACCAGATAAGCATCTATCTTATAGTAAGGATAGCATAGTTTAAATATTTAAGATTGCAATGCTAAATAATTATGATAGCACACCTGAATGCAAATTAAGACATTCTTAAATACAGTAGGTCTTGTTATGACTATTTTTTAAGGTCCTGGGCTACTCTTATATTAGATCTATTTCCTCATTACAGGAATAGAAACAGGATTATAAACAAAATAAGTGTGGAGTGAGTAGGGACAAAGATTGGACATATTTGTCAGGAGTCTATTATGAGGCAAGCTAGATAATTAGAAAAATGGAACATGGAAGTGGTAATAGCACTGTTCAGACAAAAATATGTTGGGAAGACCTTGGGTACCTTATCATAAAAGCAGTACCCTATGTCCCCAAACATAGTGGATTAAACTGAGATTTCATTAATAATTTATAACCGTAAAAAAGGTTTCATGTAGCATAGGATTTTAAGATTTCTATAGAAGCATTTATTGGGAGCTCTGATAGTGTAGTGCCTAAGGCACTTGACTGCTAGTCAGAAGGCTGGTGGTTCAAACCCACCAGCCACTCCTCGGAAGGAAGATGGGGCAATCTACTTCCGTAGTGATACTGCCTTGGAAACCCAAGGAGGGGTCACTATGAGTCGGGTCCGACTTGACGGCACATAACAACAACAACATAGAAGCATTTATTCAATACACAATAATAGGTTATTTTAAGAGTAAGTTTAAATATTAGATCCTTTGTATGCTGAAAATATTTGCAGTTCTTTCTACATTGAATCCTGAGACTTAAAAGAAAAATAAGGTTAGGACAATAAAATAAAATACTAAAAACAGTCACTATCTTCAACCTTTTGGTATGAGCTTGAAGAATCAATACTTCATGAAGAAAGGAAAACAAGAATAAAGTCAAAAAGTTCAAGTTACTATAATTTCTCCACTTTCTGATAAATATATTTTTTATAATGTTTATGAGATCATAAACACTGACCCCTAGCTACATTGGAAATTCATTATAATAGTTCTTTACATGTACCAAAAATTAGTTTTAAAAAGGAGGAAGACAGCCAGATTCCAAAACGACCTTTTAATAAATGGTTTATGACTGCAATACGTTATCTTCTAGCAGATGATGCAAAGAAAAATGGGAGGCCCTCACTAGCAAGAGTCACTTAAAGTGAACCCCATTATCCAGCACCTTGTATGTGTTCCCTATAATAATTGATGTTCAACAGTAGGAACATCAATGAGTTCTTCACAATATCAGAGATTAATTTATATTTAATTTAGATCTGATGTCAAGTATATGTATTATTTTTTGTGTGATTCACATAAAATAAGTTCATGGAAAGTCCACCTAAGTTGGATATTATGTTTTCCTTAGTGGTATGACAATCAACTATGGTTAGAAATTAGTTGTTCTTGTAAGTACATAAAACTAACAGGTAAAAATGATGTGATTTTCAGTAGGCTGATAAACATTCTAAACAAGTAGCTTAAATATTATTTCCAAATAAAACGAGAAACTATAAAAGAAAACAGAAATGGTTGGACTATAAAACAAGGAAACAGAATTCTAAAAATATAAGAAAATTGAAAAGAAATAAAAAGGTTATGAATATGCACATTACCTGAGTTTCTCTAAACTCAAAGTGAGTACATATTAAACTTCTTCTAGTACGTATATATCATTTCTCAAATGTCTCCAATTAATTTCAGCAGGATCCTTAATATTATGCACACAAGAACAATGTACCAATATTATCTCTACTGATGTATTACTTTGATGTATTACTTGGTAAGATCAAATGAAATATAAAAAGGTTATCCAATTATTCAACCTCTCAATAGTTTTTCCAGATTTTCAAAATATAAATTCACTGGGCTAGAAAAATTCAGCTTACTAACAAGGAAATGCTATTAAAATATATTTAAAAATAGAATGAAGAAAACTGGAATCAGGCCAATGAGCTTTGACCAACTGAATATTCTTAAGCTCCATCTGTGATAATCATACCCAAAACCAAACCTACTGCATCAAGTCAATTCTCACTCAGAGAGACCCTATAGGACAGAATAGAATTGTCCTACAGGGTTTCCAAAGCTGAAAATCTTTATGGAAGCAGATCGCCTCAACTTTCTCCCATAGAGCAGCTGGTGGGTTTGAACCACGGGCCTTTTGGTTTGCAGCCAACTGCTTTAATCACTATGCCACCAGAGCTCCTTAGTAATAATCATAAGCACCATACAACAGAAGTTTCCACCATTAACATACTGACCATATGATTGTATGCCAATAACCAAATAAAGTATCAGAGTCTACTGAAAAAATATAAAAAACATTTTAAACATTCTAGTGGCCAACGCTTTAGCCAATATAAGAAAATTTTATCTTTTACTTAAAAGATAACTAATACTACTTCGCATTAATACTGCATATAATATTTCCAATATACACTTGACATAATATGTATTATAATAATTTTAAGAAACACTTACTGGGTAAATTTTTTGGAGGGATGGAAGGATGGGTTCAGGTAGGGCTATAAAAAGAAAAAGTGTAAAGCTTCTGTGATTCATGATTCATTTACACAGCAATAATTTTTCAGTTACACCCTAGTTATAAAACTGGTATTAAGAGTTCATGCTAAAATTCTACAGTTTACATATACTTTATAATTCTGATCCCTAATAATTTAAGATTAAAATAATCTCAGTTGACAATTTAAGGTTTCTATGTAAACCAATGTTCTTTTACATGGCTTTAAAACAGGTCATCATTAAAGGGATATATATTATTTGGTCCAACATTATACACATACACAAAATAAGCAAGACAAGGACTGTTGTATAGGTATTGAATGGGTATTGTTAAAATGGTATGTAGTTACAAAAAAAAAATAATTTAAATAGTCCAATTATACTGTATCATAAAAGAACAATAGTGCTATTATAATTGCCCTCTTGAATATTTCACTTCTGCTACTATCAAACAATACCAAAATTGATACAGTTCCAGGAAACTTGATGTATCAAGAAAAAAACATCAACTTCATTTATTTTATTTACATATATATATATATATATATAAAAAAATCAGGAGATTTGCACCAATCTGCTACAAAGCACTCATTACACTTCATGTGTTATCAATATATGATTTTAATGTCATTCTTCATCCTTCAGTAGTTTAATGCAACTACAGTTTCATTAAATGCATTAACAGCAATTGTACATTACAATGTAAATGGAGTAATAAAAGGCACAGTGCTTAATATTCATAATATAGAAATAACTACAGTATGGGAAGATACAAGTAATGTATTTTCAAGATTTCTCTAAGACTACTGATCAAATATGATAAACTCTGTATTTAAGAATTGAAAATACATTATATGGAATTAGATAAATTCAGTAACAAAGAATCTTTAATTCACTTTGAATTTGTAATATAGCAAAAAGTTTTCAAAATGCCTTCTGAAATACATTAATATATGTGTAATCAATCATCATGATCAACTTAAATTGTCTCCAACTATGATTAGAAATATATAAATTTTATTCCATATAATACAAGGAAGAATGCTTTATTTAAATTTCTCTTCTGTATCATGCATTGCTCCTAAGTTAAAAAGTGAAGTAAAATAAAATTCCATGGTATTATTCACGGTGTATGACTGAGCATGACTGAGAATATTAGGGGAAAACACTTACTCATTACTTACCAGAATCATTCTTAGGAAGTAAGGGTATATTCCTCCCCCCCTTCCCTGAGGCAATCCTCAAAATTATGGAAGACCCTATAAGTAACCCCAGTCACTCCAATTCTAAATATGAATTCCTTTGCCACTGAATACCCCAATAAATTAAAACTATAATAAAACAAAGGACAAGGAAAGGATTGCAGAGAATTAGAATAAAGAAATTTTATCTCATTCTAGAACTATAGCTAGAATTACTAGGAGAGAAAAACTAATACTGTAACCACTTATTTAGAGTCTATTTTGGTTACCTAGTGCCACTCTTACAAGAATATACCACAAACGGGATGGCTTGAATGAACAGCAGTTTATTCTCTTACAATTTTGGAGGCTATAAGTCCTAGTTCAAAGGGCCAGGCTCTAGGGGCTGGGTGAAAGCCCCTCAACCTTGGGCTTCAGCTCTTTCTCCTGCTCCTGGCCCACTGAAGCTGGAGGTTTTTCTTCATTCAGACAGCTGCTGGCTGCTGAGGCTGACAAGCCCAAGGTCGACAAGTAAAAAGGCAAAGTCCCAATGTTACCAAAAACATGACATGCCACTCATTCAATGCCACTGAAACTCCCCAGATCATGCTCCCCAGGGCATGGCAGGCTGCTGAATAATGCCTCGGCTACATGCAGGGTTCAAGCGTGCCATAAGCTAGAGACCATTTCCCAAGGCTTCTCCTCATATACAGGAAGCAGAACACATACCTAAAGCAGCTACTCAGCTGCTCACAGTAGATGCCACCATGGAGCGGATTACCAGTCTCACCATGGGGAATACTACATCCAGCTGCCCAGCCACTCAACCCGGTCCAGCCAAGCTGATACACAAACTTAACTACCACAGAGTCTTTCATAGGATAAAAGAGCATATGGGGGGGGGGGGGGAACCCACTGCCACAGAGTCAATTCTGACTCATAGTAACCCTATAGAACATAGTAGAATTGTCCTGTCAGGTTTCCAAGGCTGTAAATCTTACGGAAGCAGAGTGCCTCATCTTTCTCCTGCAGAGCGGCTGATGAATTTGAACAGCTGACCTTTTAGGTAGCAACCAAGTGCTGTACCCACTATGACACCACAGCATCTAAGAGTAGACAATTTAGAAACCTTCGGGAGCACAGGTATCATTCATTAAATTCTTTGTCTTAAATATTAAAGATTTATAAACACTGGTCATTAGAGAAGCAATGAATGCACTGTGGCAGTTATTTAATAGTATCTTGACAGTAGCCAGCAAAAGCTTAGTAATTCATCAATTTTTACTTCAAAATTCTAGACTATAAATTCAATCTTTTAATTTCTCTCTTAAAGACAAAAGAAAATGAAACAAAAAAGCCTTATTATTACAGTGTATGATCAACAGGTAATGCTTTGAGTATTGCTAATCTACAAGGTTTTAATTTGCCTGCAGTCCAGATGCGGGCTTTCTGGTCAAGCCTCCAATTTATCAAGATTTATAAAGATTTATCAAGATTTCAACTGTTTAAACAGGTAATTTTTAACAACATTACGAAGCTATTAATTTTAAAAATGCAAAAACAACTTAAAACTGCCCAAGGGACAGTTCTTTACCTGGTAACATGTAAACATTCCATGAATATCCATATTTTTATTTCTAACTAATTTATGTTTGCCTTTATCATTAAGTCTTCATCTTAAACCAAAAAAAAAAAACACACGGCTATGGAGTCAGATCCAACTCATAGCAACCCCTCCTTCCAAGGAGCAGCTAGTAGGTTTGAACCTCCAGCCTTATGGTTAGCAAATGCCTTAGGCACTATGCCACCAAAGCTCCCACTCTTCAGTTCGTGGCAGAAAAGATATTAAAGCATTTAAAAGGTTAAACAAAATTTAAAGGTCATCTAATCCAACTCTTCTGGCTACAGATGACAATATTAAGGCCACAGAGGTACAATGACTTGACCAAAATCACAAAAATTAGTTCTTTGTAGGAAAGCTAGAACTGCTCAATGCACCTTGTAGTCTCATATATGTCCTTTTCCTCACTGTAATTTGGTATTATCTAGAAAAGCAACCACCTTTTTCTTTTTTAATTTCTTCTACACAAGGGTACCTTAAATCTTCAAAGTACAGTGTTACACATTAGCTCTGCCTAGCTGAAGCCCTTAACAAAGACCTAGAAATCACCTCAGTAAAAAGGGGCCTCTTTTCCAAGAATAAAATACTTTTAACAAAATCTAAGAAAAATGTTTACAGGATTTTTAACACTGGCAGCATACTGGTATTTGGATTTTCAAATTGCTTTCAAAATCACATTGGAGTATCTGTGATTACAGTATGTTTTTATGAAGGAGGCAATCAAATTAAAATGTTTAATGTAAAGAGAAAGACTAGGGAAATTTGGCATATTTATGGATATTAAATCCTTCAGTCAAACCTAATTTTTAAGTCATTACTAAAACTAAAAAGCAAACTGACACCAGACAGTGCTACATGAGTGTTTGTCATATTATTCTTTATATCTTATGTTCAAAATTGTACTTTGAAATTGGACAAAATAATTAGTGACATATAAAATAGTATCTTAAACAATCAACCTCTTATGTTTTAAATCCTTTAAGAGGGGCAAATCATTCATAAAACTAGTATATATCTGACATTGTTCAACAATAAAAATATATGTATTATAATTAACTCAAAAGTTTTTAACAATGAGGAAGATTACCACATCTTTCCAATGACTGGTTCATAAAACTTTGGTCTACTTGAACTAAGTCTCCGTTGATAACTCAAAAAAATTCTTCTGATTCTATCATTCAAATAAAAATATTATCTATTATTTAATATACATTATAAAATATCTAGAAATACAGAAAAGTATTAAAAAGAAATTCTACAGTCCATAAAAAAATCGCTGAAAAAATTTTGGTATGTATCTTTTCACTATCTGTACACTTATGAATAGATACACAAACACAAATACACAGTTACTATTTTTTAATTAAAATTGGTATAATGTTGTATACGACTTCGCTTATCATTAGTACTTTCTTGTATTATTAAATAGTTTAAAATATGATAATGGTTGCATAAATTTCATGTTATACTATATCATACTTAACTATTCTATTTTTCAAAACTTATTTATTTCAAATCTTTTATTTGCTGTGGAAGTGGCCTTCTATATAAATTTATATATGCATTCCTAATTTTATATTAGGATAAATTCCTAGAAATGGAATCACAGAATCAAAGGATATAAACATACATACTAAGTACAACATTGCTTTCTATAATAATTGCACCAAATTGACACAGTCATCAGAAGTGTATGATTGTGACTGCATACTGCTGTTTTTTAAAACTTTTGTCAACTTAAAAATATTAATTCTACACCTGAAATATATCATGTAAACATTTTTGCAACTAAATTTTTGATTAAAAATGGGAATACAGAGTTCAAGTTGTATTCTCTTTAGCAAGAATCTAGAATGCAGAAATTCAGGCTAACAACATATTGTATGTTTTGATAACTAAGGAGAGGATATGGCTGACATCCTATGAAAATTAATAACATTAACATAAACACTAGCCCAAATGATTATACTTATCTCCATACAAAGGAAGATGTACCTGAAAATAGGATCAAGATTTTCTTTAGAAATCAGTATAAGTAAATCAGTTAAATATGGAAAAAGGGTCCCAAAATTTCCTACCATAAAGAAAAGTTCTAACTGTGATAAACTTAGAAAATAAAATATTATTATGTGTGTCATGTGTTCATGAAGGGGTAACAATTACACTGTTTTGGGATGGTCTGGTGGCACAGTGCCTAAGGCATTTGACTGCTAACCAGAATGCTGGCGGTTCAAACCCACCAGCCACTCCTCGGAAGGGAGGTTGGGCAACCTAATTCTGTAGTGATACCGCCTTGGAAACCTAAGGAGGGGTCACTGTGAGTCAGATCCACCTTGATGGCAGTGAGTTTGGTTTTTTTTTTGTTTTGTTTATACACCATTTTTTAAGAAATTATGGTAGTAGGCAATAGTAGTTTTTTGGTTTTAATAGTAAATATAGCAAAAAAAAAAACCTAAGCCGGGGAATCAATGTCATGTTGTTGTCATTAGGTGCCATTCAGTTGATTTTAACTCATAGTGACTCCAAGTGACAGAGCAGAACTGCCCCACAGGGTCTTCTAGGCAGTAACCTTTGAGGAAGCTGATTGCTGGGTTTCTCCCATGCAGCCACTGGGTGGGTTGAAACTGCCTTTCAGTTACCAGGCTAGTGTGTAACTGCTGCACCACGAAGGCTCCATTATCAATGTCAAAACGATTGCCAGTGAGCTGATTCCGACTCATAGTGCCACTACAGGGCATAGCAGAACTGCCCCATAGGGTTTCCAAGGCTGTAATCTTTACAAAAGCAGACTGTTCCATCTTTTTCCCATAAAGCATAGTGGCTGGTGGGTTCAAACCACAGACCTTTTTATCAGCAGCCATGCACTTAACTTCTGCACCACCAAGGCTGAGCTTATCAATGTCATAAAGCACAGGTAAAAGAAATTGAAAGAACACTATGTATTTAAGATGACCATGCTTTTACAGGGGGAAATAACACCCATTACAGATATTCATTTGTCAAAATAGCTGGAATTAAAACAAATTAAATGTGACATTTAATGTTTAGCTACATTAGCTACATACAAATTTTGAACCCTTGCAAAGAAAACAAAAGCTGGAAAAAATAAAAACAGTATTAACAACAATATACTGTGGGTAATAGAAATACAGGTTTTTTGTTTTTCTTCCACTCTTGCATTTCCCAAATTTGCTATGATGTGTGGTATACAACTTATTCAAATGGGTTTTAGAATATAAAATAATTTTATTTAATATCATTACAATTTAATTATCATTTTAAATAGAATGAGTATGAAACAAAAGGGCAAAATTAAATGTGTGACCAGGAATCTTATTCATTGCCTCGACTCAATCAAAATGCTGAGGGTGAAATAACAGAGAACTATTTTGGTCAATGATTCATTAATTGCTTATGCTAAGCCAGATCTCAGAAAAGAAAGAATTATTGACACACCCCTCCCACCACTGAACCACTCTTTTTGAGCCACTAATATAGCAATCTTTGCTTCTGTCACCAAACACTCCCATCCTCTTATAAGTAAGTAAAAGTAACTCATTATGAAGACGTTCTCATTTGGGGATCATACTCTAATCTATATTCAAATAAACATAGTCTCCTAGGGATTACATACACAGTATGAAACTATATTCTCCAGCACTGATCATATCTGATACATCTACCAAGGAAAATGTGTCCCCTCCTCTTTTTCCCCTCCTTCTTTTTCCAGTGCCCAATACTGTACTGATAAGTACAGAAATGCTACTGTAAGGGAACCAAACTGTCTCAACTTTCTACCACCTCATTTTTCTGCTGCTTTTGACAAAATTGCTAATATTGTCTCCATTATCATTCTCAGAATCTAAACAAAAAACACCAAACAATGCAATAAAATGGTATTTTAAAAATAGGTATTCATTTTTTAAAATCACTGCATTGTAAAAATTAAACAAATTGTTACAGAGCATATGACATGCTGATTTATCAGCAGCCCAATTCACACAATCCTGATAAAAAGATCATACTGACATCATAATCTCATTAGTAACCCATAAGTTGTGATAGTTCTTAACAATTCGTATCTTTTGGCACGCAACAGGCACTAAAATGTTAAATTTTAAAGGTAGAGAATGTGAGCTCCATGAAGAAAAGAACTGTTTTTCTTCACTTTTGTTCACTACTATATTTCCAGATCCTAAAATAATACCTGGCATTTGTTTAGTAAGTGCTCAACAAATATTCATGAAATGAATAAATGAATATTATATGCTAAAACATAGTTTTCTCTCTTAATATAATCTTTGGAAAGCAAGAGTCTACACTGAAAATACAAACCAGAACAAATCAGGCCCTGGTTAAATGCTTCCTGATAAATATCCTTCCAGTGCTCTGGTAGCATAGTGGCTAAGACACTTGCCTGCTAACCACAGGGCTGGCGGTTCAAACCCACCAGCCACTCCTCGGAAAGAAGGTTGGGCAATCCTACTTCCGTAGTGATACTGCCTCGGAAACCCAAGGAGGGGTCGCTATGAGTCGGGTTTGACTCGACGGCACATAACAACAACAACAACAACTACCTCAATATCAACTTTTTCACCTGATCTCCTTGCCATCAGATATTCATGTTTAGTTAATCAGTCATTAAACATTTCAGAGCTCTGGTAGCATAGTGGCTAAGACACTTGCCTGCTAACCACAGGGCTGGCGGTTCAAACCCACCAGCCACTCCTCGGAAGGAAGGTTGGGCAATCCTACTTCCGTAGTGATACTGCCTCGGAAACCCAAGGAGGGGTCGCTATGAGTCAGGTCCGACTCGACGGCTCATAACAACAACAACAACAATCTAATATTACATAACAGCATGCCGCGATACTTAACAGCCCTTATTTTTAGCTGAATAGAATGTGTAAAGCAGCTTAATTGCTATTTCTTGGATTGTTATCCACATACGATTATTAAATATGAAGTATGTATTAGAAATAAAGGTTTCAATTGGATCTGGTCAGCCAGCCCCTATATTTCCAGGGAATTTTCAATACGTGTTAAAATTCTGACAGACCTATCCATGAATGGCACAAATTACAAGAAAGTGTTTACTTACTACTGTTTCCCACTATGCATAAAAAAGTATGAGTTTTAATCAGAATAGTCTAATAAACCATTCTCGTTAGAACTGAATTAAAATTTGAGACCAATCTGACACAACAGTCCCATAAAGATAAAATCTAGTTGGAGAGGGCAGCTCACCCTTGAATCAAAAGCTAAATTATTTTGGTCATGTAGGACTTAAAAGCTTCTTTGACCAAAAAGAAAATCGCTTAATTCCTGTCTCAAATGAAAATGAAAAATAAAAAATGCATTAAATGGTGATTGACCTTATTTTTGTAAGCCTTCTGAACATTCATCTGCCTCGAGATCCATACAATACAGTGGTGAAAATTCCTTTAATGCTAGGAGAACAGTGAAATTTATTTCTATTTTCCAGGGAATAACATTATTCAAAGCAACTAAATGGGCTAAATGGGCCTCAGAGAGATTTTCGAAACAGCACTACAACAGGGAATATACCATAGTGAAGTTTAAGTCCATTTCAGTTTTAAAAATTAAGGGAGGAGAGGGAACATAATACTTACTTTGCAAATAGTGTAAAACCATCAAAACAAGACTATAGCTGCTTAAAGTACCACGACTGGCATCATTTATCTCATGGTGACTCGCCCATTTCTTAATCACCAGTACTAACGGACGAACTCGATTTTCAACTGGAAGTAAAATTAGTAAGAATATATTACAATTACATTAAAAGTTTTTATCACTTCACAACTCCATAACAATTGAAAAGAGCACTGCCTCCCTGTGTACTAAATACTGTATTTACCATAAATGTGACTAACTTTTAAACCTTATTTTAGTTACCTTTAGAAAATTACTAATTATTAAAATACTTTCCTTTTCCTATAATGATAGTAGTATGTGATTTTTAGTGTGGCAACATATTATTCAAATAATTGAATAAGACATCAAACCTAACTCATAGTAACCCTACAGGACAGAGTAGAAATTTCCCACACAATTTCTAAGGTTACAAATCTTTATGGAAGCAGACTGCTTCGTCTTTCTCTGGCAGAACGGCTGTTAAATTGAACAACTGATTTAACCACCATTTGGTTAGCAGCCAAATGCTTTAACTACTGTACCACGAGATCTCCTTAAATAAGAGAAAGGACACTTAACCACAACCAAAAAGATATCACTATTTACTGGTAACACCAGTAAATAACAAATGGGAATAAAGCATGAAGGAAAGACAAAGGTGCTTATAATTATTTAGAAATAAACCAAAAACTTACGGTATGCATAAGCTCTGAGAAGGAATGTGTTTCTTATTCCAACAATATTGTTTACATTCAAGTCGAACTCCACAGAACTATTGAGGGAAAAAAAAAGTTAGCTCAAGTATAAATTAAACTAATACTCTATGATTAAATTAATACCCATCCAATGATGCAAAATACCATGAGCCAAAGGCCAAAAAGTTGTGTTCTTAAAATGAGGCCATTAAGAAATAATAATGAGTATACTCAGTATGTCATTTTAATATGATTTAATATGTATTAATAACATAAAATAACATTATTGTTGAAAGATCTATGATATACTGGTAATGCTCTAATTAGTTTGGCCAAAGGAAATTGTTAAAATCTTGCAATCATTTCCGAAAAAAAACAAAATTATGTGGCCAAAAATATTCCTGAGCAAGTTATCTCACTAATTTATATATTCTCAAATAATTTAGAGTTGGGCAATCCTACTTCCGTAGTGATACTGCCTCGGAAACCCAAGGAGGGGTCGCTATGAGTCAGGGCTGACTCGACAGGACATAACAACAACAACAAGCATCATGTACTTTTTTAAAAAATGAAAATAAGAAATCAAACAAAAATATAGAAGAAAATAAAGGCTGTATCTGCACATTATAATTCCCCCAAAAAAGGCTGGTAAATTATTATACCATACCAAATTTAGCTACTAATATCTGGGAAGAGCTATAATGGTCAAACAAATAACAAAGGATACTTCTTTGAAAGCAAAAACATCATGTGATTCCCAATTTAAGGGAAAAATGGCAATAATGGTATTTTGGGTATTATGTTTCAGTAAAATGAAAAGTAACCTGTTTAACCACAATTGTATGTACAACAAATCCCTTGATAAAATTTACATCAAATATCATAAATTCAAGTATGTTCTTGAGAACACATTACATTTCCTTAAGGCAGAAAGCTAACTATATTTTATAATACATACATATATACCCATAGATACTATATATCCTAGTACGTATACCCTCGTCTGTCAGTTTGTTGTACTGTGATAGCTTGAGAGTTTCTGTGATACTAGAAGCTAAGCCATTGGCATTTCAAACACCAGCAGGGTCACCCATTGTGAACAGGCTTCAGCAGAGCTTCTAGATTAAGACAGACTAAGAATAAGGACATGGCAAGATCCATTTCTGAGGAAAAAAAAACCTGTTGACTGAAAACCTTATAAATAGCAGTGAAACACTGTCTGATATAATGCCAGATAATGAGCCCCTCAGGACGGAAGAACTCAAAATACTACTGGGGAACAGCTGCCTCCTTAAAGTGGAAAGACCTTAATAACGTGGGTGGAGTAAAGCTTTCAGGACCTTCATTTGCTGATATGATACAACTCAAAATTAGAAGAAACAGCTGCAAACAATCATTAATAATTGGAACATGGAATGTACAGAGTATGAATCTAGGAAAACTGGAAGCTGTCAAAAATGAAATGGAACCCATAAAGATCAATATCCTAGGCATTAATGAGTTGAAATGGATTGGTACTGGCCATTTTGAATCAGACATTAATGTGGTCTACTATACTGGGAATGACACATTAAAGAGTAATGCTTTCACAATTATAATCAAAAAGAACATTTCAAGATCTATCCTGAAATACAATGCAGGCAATGATAGGAGAGTATCCATATGCCAATAAGAAAGACCAGTTAATATGACTATTACTCAAATTTACACACCAACCATTAAAGCCAAAGATGAAGAAATTGACTTCTGCAGTCTAAAATTGACCAAACACGCAATCAAGATATACTGATAATTACTGGTGACTGGGATGCGAAAGTTGAAAACAAAGAATCATTGGTTCGTGGAAAATATGGTCTTGGTCATAGAAATAATGCTGAAGCTTGCATGACACAATTTTGTATGATCAACAACTTACTCATTCCAAATAAATTTCACATCAACATAAACATACGCACGGAAAAGCAAAGAATACTAGAAAGATGTTTATCTTTGTTTCACTGACTAGGCAAAAGCATTCAACTCTGTGGATTGTAACAAATTATGGACAACAACGAGAAGATTGGGAATTCCAGAACACTTAATTGTGCTCATGAGGAACCTGTATATCAATCACGGGGCTGTTACTCAAACAGAACAAGGGGATACTACATGGTTTAAAATCAGAAGGGACTGTGTCAGGGCTGTCTCCTGTTTTGGTTACTTTGTGCTGCTCTAACAGGAAAATACCACAAATGGGTAACTTTAACAAATAGGACTTTGTTCTCTTACAGTTTTGGAGGCTAGAAGTCTAAGTTCCAAGTGCCAGGCTCTACGAATGGGGTGAAAGCCCACAAATGGGTAACTTTAACAAATAGGACTTTATTCTCTTACAGTTTTGGAGGCTAGAAGTCTAAGTTCCAAGTGCCAGGCTCTAGGAACGGGATGAAAGCCCCTCAACCTTGGCCTTCAACTCTGCCTTTTGCTCCTGGCCCACTGGAGCTAGAGGTATCTCATTGATCAGGCAGCTGCTGGCTGCTGAGGCTGACAAGGCCAAGGTTGACAAGTAAAATGGCACAGTTCCGATATTACCAAACCACACAGCAGGCCATTGATTCAAGTCCGTTAAGAGTTCCAAGATTGGCAGAGCATGGCAGACTGCTGAATGAAGACTCAGCTACATGCAGGGTCCAAGTGTGCCAAAAACCTAGAGACCTTCCTCAAAGTTGCTCCTTATATACCAGAAGCAGACTACATCCCTAAAGCAGCTACTCAGCTGCTCCAGCAGATTCCACCATAGAACTGACTGCCAGTCTTACCATGGGGAGTAACTACATCCCGCTGCCCAGCCACTCAACCAGGTCCAGCCAAGTTGACACACAACCTTAACTACCACAATTCCACCCTTTGTCAACTTGCCACCTGTACAGATCTTCATTAGGTGGCATCTGTACAGATCTCCTTCACTCAGTGCCTCCAGTACGCTAGTTCATCTGAGTGGGGACCTCACCCCCCTTGGTCCGGCAGGCCTCATTCCTCTACCTCTTGGGCATGGCAGCTTTGCCCCTCATTTTTAGGCAATGGCTATGGCTCCATCCCACTGGCCCACATGAATCAGCAGCCTCATACTCCAGAACCAAGTTGGTGAAGGTATGACTCTCTGAAACCTAGGAGGCTGTGGTGGATTCGTGCCCAAAGGCCATGGTCTTACCCTTGAGGCTGAGGCAGCTCTGCTTCCAGTTTCCTTGGTCCCTCTACTTCTGCTAATCAATGCCCAAGGGCAACCCACTCTACCAGGAATCTTCCTGCCCAAAGGACAATTAGCTTTCTTGATCCATGGGCTGGCCAACTTGCTACTCCATCTCATGCCGATCTCTTCCACTAGTTAATGCCCAAAGGCAAACCACTCCACCAAGAAGCCACCTACCCAGTGGCATCCAGCTTTCTCCTCTGAGGGCTGATAAAGCTGTCATTGTCTCATGCCAGTCTCTTGGCTCTGCTGCTTCTGTCTCTCATGCCTCATGCTGAGATCTTCCTGCCAGGGTCTCAGGTCAAGGATGCGCTCCACTCCTGTTTCCACATTTTAGGTATCTGTCTGGGCAGCACCCCACTCTGTTGGTACCATATTCTCTTTTGGTTAGCTCTCTGCTGCTCTAACAGAAAATACCACAAATGGGATGGCTTGAAAAAATAGGAGAATAATCTCTTACAGTTTGAGAGGCTAGAAGTCTGAGTTCAAAGTGCCAGGCTCTAGTGGCTGGGTGAATGTCCTTCAATCCTGGGGTTTAGCTCTGCCTCCTGCTCCTGCCCCACTGAGTCTGGAGGCTTTTCTTCACTCAAGCAGCTGCTGGCTACTGAGGTTGACCCAAGGCTGACAAGGAAAAAGGCACAGTCCCAATACTACCAAACAACACTAATTCAAGTTCAGAAAAAGTCCCAAGATCGGCAGGGCATGGCAGGCTACTGAACAATGACTTGGCTACATGCAGGGTTCAAGGGTGCCAAAAAGCTGGAAACCTTCCTAAAAGTTGCTTCTTATATACTGTAAGCAGACAACATCCCTAAAACAGCTACTCAGCTGCTCCAGTGGATTCCACCATGGAGTTAATTACCAATCTCACCATAAGGAATAACTACATACAGCCGCCCAGCCACTCAAAACCAGGTCCAGCCAAGTTGACACATAACCTTAACTCCCATATATCCTTACACCATACTTATTCAATCTGTATGCCGAGTAAATAATCCAAAAGCTAAACTATATGAAGAACATGGAATCAGGATTAGAGGAAGACTCATTAACAACCTGCAATACGCAGATAATACAACCTTGCTTGCTGAAAGTGAAGATGACTTGATGCACTTACTGATGAAGATTAAAGACTACAGTCTGCAGTATGTATTACACCTCAACATAAGAAAATGAAAATCCTCATAATTGGACCAATAAGCAACATCACGATAAATGGAGAAAAAAACTGAAGTTCTCAAAGATTTCATATTACTTGGTTCCACAATCAACACCCATGGAAGCAGGAGTCAAGAAATCAGATGTCACACTGCATAGGGAAAATCTGCTGCAAAAGACCTCCTTAAAGTGCTGAAAAGCAAAGATGTCTCTTTGAAAACTAAGGTGTGCCTAACCCAAGCCACGGTGTTTTCAATCACCCAACATGCGTGTGAAAGCTGAGCAATGAATAAAAAAGACCAAAGAAGAGTAAATGCTTTGAGTTGTGTTGGCAAAGAATACTGAAAGTACCACAGACTGCCAGAGGAGGAACTAACAATCTGTCCTGGAGGAAGTGCAGCAAGAATGCTCCTTGGAAACAAGAATGGCCAGACTTGGTCCTACCTACTTTGGTCATTTTGACAGAAGGGACCATTCTTTGGAGAAGGGTATCAAGCTTGGTAAAGTGGAGGGTCAGTGAAAAAGGGGAAGGCCCTCAATGAGATGGACTGACACAGTGGCTTCAACGATGGGCTCAGGTATAGCAAGGATTGTGAGGCTGGCACAGGACCAGGCAGTGTTTGGTTCTGTTATGAATAGGGTTTCAATGAGTTCCATCTGACTCGATGGCACCTAACAACAACAACAACATGG